TGGAGGGGCGGGGCCGGGGCGGGGCCTGCGAGGTCGTGGGCGAGCCGCGGACGTCTCGCAGTAGGTGGGGAATGGGTCTGAGTCCTCAGAGGGCGCGGTTGGGGACGAGGCCTCAGACTGCAGCTGTCCCGGCTGGCGGGGAACTGGACGGCCCTTCCTCTCCGCTCCAGGAGACGGACTCCGCCCGTGGTGCCGCCCTCGACCCGCGAGGACCGGGCTTCCTCGTCCCGGGAGCGCTCCACGTCGCGTGGCCGCGGTGCTGCGCGCTCCTCGTCGCGGGAGAGTGCCCGAGGGGGCCGGGGTCGTGGCCGGCCTGCCCGCCCGTCACCCTCGCCCACAGGTCTGTGCCCCCCACGCTCGGGCCCCTAGGGGAAGCGGAGGACACTAGCGCCCTGGGGCGTGATTCTGTGACCTCAGCCCGTCTTCTCCCTCCTCCCTCGTCCTAGGTGGTCGCGTGCCCCGCTTCGACCCCACGGCTTTTGTGAAAGCTAAGGAGAAAAAGCAGAGAGAGATCAGGATGAAGTTAGTGCTGGCCCTCCCCTACCTGCGCTTGTCCCTGTGCACAGCCGGCCTCTGACCGCGGGGGGCGCTCTTCTCCCCCATCCCGTGTGTCTCCATCACCTGTCACCTGCGCCCTTTCTCCTTCTCCACCTGCTGGGGCTCCTCACCTGCCCTCCTACTTGTCTCCCACCCCCACCTGGTCTGTCTCTGCATGCTTTTTCCCCCTCCTGGACCAGGTGACCTCAGGAGGGTCACAGCCAGAGACCGTGTGCAGCGACGCCCTTCCCCACGTTGGTTGGTGTACAGGCGGGCGTCTCCTTTCCCGCTTCCCAGGCAACAGCAGCAGCGGAACCGTTTGGGCAGTGGAGGCAGCGGGGACGGCCCCAACATCTCATGGTCTCGCCAGGCCCGGCCCCCTGCCGCCATGCCTGGCCCCGCCCTCCTTGTCGGGCGCGGGGAATGCAGCTAACCGCTCCCGAAACCGCAGCTCCTCGGGTAACTGCCTCGGGTAACTGCTGGAGGCTGCGGGCCAGGCTGGGCGCCGCGGCGAGGCTCACTTCCGCTCCTCCCCTAGTGGACAGTTTCCGCAGCCGCTGCTCGTCCGCCAGCTCCTGCAGCGAGTTCGAGGACTTCTCCGAGTCTCTCTCCAGAGGGTAAAACGGACATCGGAATGGCCACCCCAGATGGGTGTCGGGGAGGCTGGAAACTGGCTTCGGCTGAGAAATTGGGTGGAGGCCAGGGCTTTGAAACCACAAGGGTGGGCGAGGCAGGAGATCCAGACTCGCCACCATTGGTTTCTCCCTTCCGGTAGTGTTCACCGCAGGGGCCGTGGGAAGCCTCCCAGCCCCACACCTTGGAGCAGGTCCAATACAGTAAGTGTGGGGAGGAGGGAGGAGGGGGAAGGGGGAGGGGGAGGTTAAGCCACTGGGTCCCAGGATTCCATCCCAGGGATCAGGTTGCAGAGTGACTGGGCAGTGCTCTGGAAAGGCCCTTGGAGACGGGATTGCAGGGCGTGATGATGAGAGGCACAGTGATGCTGTTTAGGGCTCTGGTCCCAAGCCATGGCTTCTCCGCTCACCTGTGGGACTCAAGGCAGCCGTTTGGCCTCTGTGCCTTTTCTGTACCCCTTAAATGGGACAGTAACGTCACCTCAGGGTCCTTATGAAGAGGTTGCCTTGCAAACCATCAGTGCCCAGGAGGTACCAGCTCTCATTTTTCCTGAGCTCCTTAGGTTCAGAATTTCTAGTGGGAATGGGGGAGGGCAGGAATAGAGAGTGCCTGACGCCCTCTCCTGCTTCCCCATCACCAGAAGTCCACCCCCCTGGAACGAGGCCACCATCAGAGACGCCTGGCTAGTTCTGGGGGCTGGGTCCCCATCAGAGGTGAGCCTGGAACTCCACATGTCCCCCACCCCTGCTGGGGCGGTGATGAGGGCAGTACAGGCCCCTCACAGCCCCCCGCTCCCACACCTGCTCCCCCAGAGTACAGCTCGGACCACCAGGCGGCTGACATGGCCGAGATAGACGCGCGCCTGAAGGCCTTGCAGGAGTACATGAACCGGCTGGACACGCGGTCGTGACCCCGGCCTGGACAGGGGTGCTGTCACTCCACCTCCCACCTTCCACAGGGTATGGTGTGGAGGGCGGGGCTAGGCCGGCAGCCCGGTGCAGGCCACGCCCCTCCTGGTGCTCCTGGGGTCTCAGGTGTGTGAGGCCCCAAGCCCGCCCTCCCCAGGCAGTGCATGCTGGGAAGGAGGACATGTGTGTGTGTAAATAAACATGTTTGTCCTGGGACCCCTCAGCTTATGAGTGAAGGGTGGGGGTAGTGGATGAGGAGAAAGGACGAGGACTGGGGTGCGTGGAATTGGGACTCGTATGCATTTCTGGACATGGAAGCAGAGTGGGGTTCAGGCTCAGGGAAAATTTACTCTAAATGCGAGAGGGACCTGAGGGGCGGGAGCGAGCAGCCTTCCCAGAGGAGTCCACGCAGAGACTCTGCAAAGGGTGTCTTTGGCTGGGTGGTGGGGAAGGGGTGTCTTGCAGCATGGTTCACTGCCTGGGAGGACGCCGCGCTGCCGTCGGTGACATCCGGGCCAATTGGTGCTGATTCCTGGGCTCTGACCTGAGACCTCTGGGTTCTGAGCTGTGATGTTGCTCCCAAGCTGGGATCTCCGGGGTCTTGGTTCAGGGTCGGGGCCTCTGGGTTCTGAGCACCAGCGAGGACAGTGTTGGGGTCTCGTGGGAGGGGACAAGGGGCCATGTGGCAGGACTGTCAGGACCACGCTTCAAGCTGCAGCTTTATTGGAGGAGGCGGCGGTGGGGTTCGGGCGTGGCGGGGGAGCGGGCGATGAGAGGAGCCTCACTCACGGTAGTGTGGCCAAGTCTTGATGATTTCGTAGAGCTGGTCCCCTGGAGACAGGGTCTGCTGCACGTCCCGGTGCCCTTTGACCTCGTATCTGGGGCTGAGGACTCCCTTAGCCACACCACAAGCCAGCAGATTCTTGGCTGCCCGGAGGGCCCGGGGTGGGGGTGCACGCTCTGGGGGTGGCAGAAGCAGAAGTTAGGTTGGCATTCCTCAAAGGGCGGAGGTGATGCGGGCTAGTGGGTTTGACTGTGCTCTGAGCTGGACTGCCTTCTTTTTTTCTTGGAGAGGTTTTCGCTATAGGGCACGTGCACTCACCAGACAGACAGAGAGAGAGAGAGACAGAAAGCAAGAAATCACCCCCCTGGGGGGATGGCCACACCCCAATCCCTTCTCCTCCATTCTCCTCTCGGGATCTTGGGCATGCACGCACACGCGCCCAGCGTGAGTTTTAAGCCACTGGGTCCGGGACTCGAACTGCAGTCGACCACGTGGGAGTCCAGCGACATAGCCGTTATGCCAACCGCTGGTCCCAGGACTGCCTTCTCTGCCTCGCTTTCCCTCTCCATGAAAAGAGAGCATAAAGTGCCTCTGAGGCCGTGGGAGGTACAGTCCGTTACTTTGTCACACCTCAGGACGGCCTGGCATGGAGGGGGCCCACAGCGGGCACTTGGCTGTGAGGTGGTTATTGCCATGGTCCCTCTGCCTCACCTCTGGATCCTGCCACAGTGTATCAAGTACAATTTATCACATTTATCAATGACTTCTTGGGTGCCATGGGCTGGCCTGGGGTTTCTTCTTCTTCTTTTTTTTTTTTTAAATACTTTTTCAAAAGGAGGCACCCCCAACAGTATCTTCATGTCACACTCTTCAGCTATCCAGCTTCACGGGCACATGCGTGGATGCCAGTGTGTACAGGAGACCTCGGGATGCAAACCCGGGCCCTCGCCCTGCGGCCTCAGCATCGCCGGGCCAGGCTGGCCGGGAGTTTTATACAGACCAGCCCCCCTCGCCCTCAGCCTGCAGTTGAAAGTGACCCCCATGTTCTAACGGAGGAAACAGAGCTGAGCAAAGGGAGACGCTGGCCTGCGGTCACAGGGCTTGGAGGTGCCACCACCTCTGTGCCGTGCCGTCCCCTAGACCCGTCAGCCCCCACCCTGACCGAGCGGACGGCCGCTTACCCATGTAGTTGCCCATGAAGGTGATGCCGATGGATATGGGGTTCCAGGTGGGACCTGTGTGGTCGCCCTTTATGTTCCAGCCGCGGCCCTCATACACCAGCCCGTCTTCTCCGATGAGGAAGCTGTGTGGACAAGCGTGCTCAGTGAGCGAGGGCTTCCTGGAGGAGGATGCATTCCACCCAACAGCCACCCCCCCCATTCCTGCCCCAGCACACGCGGCTTTCCCCAGCGTGCTCTTCCCCGTGCCCTAATTTTCCACACGAATGATGACCAACCGCGAATTCAGTCCCTGCTGCAGGCCGCGCACAGCTCCGTATGTCGCTGTTGTCACCCTCACAGCAACCCTGGGAGTTGCGACCACCTCCCTTCTTATATGGAGAGAACCAGAGAGGTGCAGTCACCCGCCCAAGGTCACACAGCATTCTGGTGCAGAGCCAGGTTGTCACCCAGGCCCCCAGGCCCTACCACATGGTCTCGTCCTTGCTCCTTCTGCCTCCCTGGAGGGTTCGTTGAACTGCTTTGCCAAACCCTCACACGGCCACCCTCTGAGGTCGATATGTGGTCACCCCATTTTAAGGTGAGGAGTAGAGACTCAGGGCTGGGGTCTGCACAAGGCCATGTTCCCAGAAACCTCTCAGAACTCTGCCCTCACTCCAGCCTACTTCTGCCCTCAAGGTCCACTCAGCGACAAGATCGGGGACACAAGATTGGGGTCACCATCAGAACAGGCCCTGGAACCCCAGCCCCGGTCTCGGTGAGGTTTTGGATCCTGGCACTTGACACATCTCAATTGCGCGAGTCTGACCAGGCACCGTGGAATGAGCTAGATCAGCATCTCGGACCCATGTGCCTGCCGACTCCGCCACCGGCCCACAGGGTCGATAATGATGCACAGAGTGTCGGGACCTCTGGGTTTCAAGCCCGAGTGTCCCACTCAGGTAGCCAGCCCTGTCTCCGAGGAGACCGGAAACACCACAGCAAGGCCGGGGCTGCAGGGCCGTCAGGGCCCCGCTCCCTCTGCATCTGTTAGACCGTCAGGGCCCCGCTCCCAGTGCGTCTCTCAGGCCGTCGGGGTCCCGCTCCCTCTGCATCTGTTAGACCGTCGGGGCCCCGCTCCCTGTGCGTCTCTCAGGCCATCAGGGCCCCGCTCCCAGTGCGTCTGTTAGACCGTCGGGGCCTCCCTCCCTGTGTGTCTCTCGGACTGTCAGGGTCCCGCTCCCTGTGCGTCTGTTAGACCATCAGGGCCTCCCTCCCTGTGTGTCTCGGGCTGTCAGGGTCCTGCTCCCTGTACGTCTCTCGGACTGTCAGGGTCCCGCTCCCTGTGTGTCTCTCAGGCCGTCGGGGTCCTGTTCCCTGTGTATCTCTCAGGCCGTCAGGGTCCCGCTCCCTGTGCGCCTGTTAGACCGTCAGGGTTCCGCTCCCTGTGTGTCTCTCAGGCCGTCAGGGTCCCGCTCCCTGTGCGCCTGTTAGACCGTCGGGGTCCCGCTCCCTGTGTGTCTCTCAGGCCGTCGGGGTCCCGCTCCCTGTGCGCCTGTTAGACCGTCAGGGTTCCGCTCCCTGTGCGTCTCTCAGGCCGTTGGGGTCCTGTTTGCTGTGCGTCTGTTGGACGGACTCAATTGGTTTCAGCTGCAGCCATTGCCGGGAGGTTCAGGCCACAGCCCAGCCCCATTGACAGGTGCAGAACAGGGTCAGAGAGAGTGACATGGCGGGGAAGAGGGCTCGGAATGTTAGACCCTGAGTCCTAAGATCTGAGGAACTCCAGACTGCTCTTCTGAGAGGGGACTCCGAGCGGAGGCCCCGGAACCTGGCTTGGGTCCTCACCATTTGCAGCAGACTCAGAACCAGAGCCCTGACTGGGGACCAAACCTTGCAGTTGGAGTCTCTGAATTATACCATCTTGAGCTAGCTGGGGATGCCTCTGGAGGCTTCCAGACTTCCCTGGGGCCTGCTGTAGCAATCTCCAGGGGCTGGGCCCAGGGACCTGCATTTCCAGTAAGCGCTCCCCGTGATTCTGACACCCAGGTAGGAACTGCATGGTTCTGGTGTTCCCCATGGGCCCTTGTGTGGGACTCCAGCCTGTGATGCTGAAAAAGAAGCTGCCGGTCCCCGGCCCCAAGGCCCATCTAGCCAACCCCTCACTCCTGCTCCCCTTTTCTCTGCAGCAGCCAGGGGGCACCTCAGACACTAAACCAGCTCGCGCCCTCTGCTCAGAGCCCTCCCATGGTTCCCGTCTCAGAGTAGAAACCAAAGCCCTCACCTTGGCCCACAAGGCCCTTCACCATCTGGCCCCATCAATCCCTTCCTCCTCGTTCCGTGTCCCCTGCCTCAGTCAGCCACCCCGTCCTTCAGACATGACCCCGGTGCCCCAGAACCACTCTTCCTGACCCCTCCCTCTGCTCCCCCATCCCAGGGCCAACAGCACTGCCGTCTCAGGGCTTCCCCTCACCCCCGCCCCAGCTTGTGCCATGGTGTGGGTGCAAGGAGCCCCCTGGGCGGTCGGGTCACATCGTGGTCCCCTCCTTCCAGCCCATCGGGGTTGTGGGTGTATTCATCCCCTGGCACATTTCAGGCCGACCAGGCAGGGGAGCTGGACCGGCCTGCCATGGACTGCCAGGCCTGCAGCCCCATTCTCCAGGGACTGCCCCAAGAGTCTGGCCCGGGGCTGTGCTTTTTATTTTGATTTGATTTTATTTTTTTTTATGGAGAGTTTTTTTTTTTTGCTATAGGGCGTGTGCACTCACCAAACAGAGAGACAGAAAGCGAGAAATCACCCCCCAGGGGGGAAGGTCACGCCCCAAT